CAGTGACCGCGAACACCCCCTCCAGCACCCGAACGGCGGCCCGAGCCGGTTCCAATGTGGCCCCAGCGGCCCCCCAGTGCCCCTTCCGTGGTCATGTGACCAGCCGGGTCCTGAGCAACCTGCCTCTACAGGGCTGGGCACTGGGCACTGCCATCTGCATGGACTGCGACCCTCACTCATCAGGGGGTCCATCACGCCCAGCAGGTCGGGACCCGAACCGGCTCAGGCCGACCTCATCGTTTCTTTAACATGTTATCTTGTCCTGGCTGGAGTGCTCAGGGGTTAGAGCGCTGACCTGTGCACCCAAGGGTCTCGGGTTCGATTCCCGGTCAAGGGCAGGTACCTGGGTTGCAGGTTAAATCCCCGGCCCGGTCAGAGCGAGTACGGAGGCGACCAATTGGTGTGTCCCTCTCACATCAATGTTTCTCTCTCCCCACCTCCCTCCCTCCCTTCCTCTCTCTCTAGAAATCAATGGGGACGGGGGAGAAAATATCCTCAGACAAGGATTCACAAAAAATAGAAACTAAAAACAAAATCTATATACATAAAAGCCTAAGCAACCATTCGGCCGGTAGCTATGATGCACACTGACCACCAGGGGGCAGACACTCCGACCGGTAGGTGAGCTTGCTGCTGGGGTCCGGCAGATCAGGACGGTGAGATAGGCCGGACACGCCCTGGAGCCCTCCCGCGGTCCCTCCCTGGCCCCAATCGTGCACCGGTGGGGTCCCCTGGCCTGGCCTATGCCCTCTCTCAATCCAGAACCCCTCAGGGGATGTCGCAGGCCCGGCCGAGGGACCTCACGGTGCACGAATCCCTGCACCAGGCCGCTAGTAAATAAATAAAATGGAATGTGCTCCCGGCACCCCATTACCTTGTCGTCGATGTCCGTGATGTTCATGCAATAAAACACGTCGAACTGGAAGTAGTCCCTCAGCACCCGCCTCAGGATGTCGAAGGAGATGTAGGACCTGGAGAGAGAGGCCGTTCCCCACTGCACACCCAGCCCACCCCAGCCACGGCGGCCCCAGCCACGGCGGCCACTGCCACGGCCACTACTGCCACAGCGGCCACTGCCACGGTCCGCCCCAGCCACAGTGGCCACTGCACATCAAGGCCGCTACTGCCACGGCTGCTACTGCCACAGCCCACCCCTGCCGGGGGCGCCCGCCTCAGGTCAGAAGGCAGGAAACCCAGCGCCTGGACCCTCCTACCTCCTCCCACCCCCTCCCACCGGAGCTGTGGGGCATGCAGGAGGCAGCCGATCCATGATTCTCTCTCATCATTTTTTTTTAAATATATTTTATTGATTTTTTACAGAGAGGAAGGGAGAGGGATAGAGAGTTAGAAACATCAATGAGAGAGAAACATCATCAATCAGCTGCCTCCTGCACACTCCCCACTGGGGATGTGCCTGCAACCAAGGTACATGCCCTTGACTGTAATCGAACCTGGGACCCTTGAGTCCACAGGCCGACGCTCTAGCCACTGAGCCAAACCGGTTAGGGCTCTCTCTCATCATTGATGTGTCTCTCTCTCACCCTCTCCCGTCCTCTCTGAAATCAATAAAAATATATCCAAAAAAAAACAAGAGAAGAAAGTTCTGGGTTGACTTTCCTTTCAAATGTCAGGCTGTGCAGCAGATCACAGGCCCGCGGGCCGCCTACCTGGCGTGTCCCATGTGAGACGCGTCGTAGACGGTGGGCCCGCAGCAGTACCAGGTCACTCGCCGCCCGTTCTGAGGTACGAACACATCCTGCGGCAGAAACGGAGGCGCGGCCATCACAAGGAGCGCACACGCTCAACAAGGGCCGTGCGGTCTGAGCGGTCACAACGTCTGGGCAGGGCCACGGGCCAACGAGACGCGAAGGCGACTTTCCTCGGAGCGAGAGGCCCGTGGTCGCCCTCTTCCTCCCCGGACGCTGCTCCCCGGGCACAGGCGGGAGAGGAAGCAACCACTGTGCTTCCTGTTGAAATGCCAGGCGTGCCCAATGTGCCCAGTGTGCCAGGTGTGCCCAATGTGCCAGGCGTGCCCTGTGTGATGTGTGCCC